AAAATATATTAAATAATAATTAGTTAAAAAATACGTAATATTATGAAAATATTGAATAATTTGTCGAAAACAACAGTAGACAATTTTGTAGAGGTAAATGCAAGGTGTATCCTATTATTATATTTTTAGTCTAATCCCAACTTCTCGAAACTGTTTCTTTACAAACCAATTGTCTCTACATGAGCTTGGTGACATGCTAGGAAGGTCCTGAGTGGGGATGTCTTCAAGCTCAAAGTTGACCTAGCCAGAATCTCTCTCTCTCTCTCTCTCTCTCATTTGTTGCTACGTTTCCAAAAAAGTGGAGAATTTCTTGTGTGCTTCCCTATATAATTTCTTATTTCAACAGCAAGCTTTTCACCAAAAGAGATTAAAAAAAACCAATCCAAAACAAAGAAAGAGTACAAAAGATAGAAACCACTTTTTGGAGAAGAAGAGAAACAAAACAAAACAAGTTGTTTCCATTCCAAGATGATTTCTGGGGCCACTTCTTGTTACCCTAATGTCTCACAAGGATTACAAATGTATGGCATCACAGAAGCCGACGTCGTTTCATCTTCTCTTGGACCAACCTCAGGTTCAGATACTCACTCAAACTCTCTCCTCTACAGCCTCTCAGTCCTCAAAGAGAAGGTCCATCAAGTTCAATCTCTGGTCTCCATCTTCATCTCCCCTCCCCAGAGCCAACCCGCCGAGTCAACGGCCATAGCCATAGCCAGTATGGGCACTTTGATTCAAGAAATCATAGTCACCGCCTCTGCGATGATGTTCACTTGCCAACAGATGTCTCTGGGCTCAACTCTGGGGAACAACAACACTGACGAATCACAGAACCGGCGTGTTAAGCTCCCCGGAGTCACTGGGTTGTCTCAACAACAACCCAACTGTGGTCCAACCCGTTTCGTCCATGTTGGTGAAGAAAGCCGACAAGGGTTTTATTCTAGCGAAACTATAGACTGGTATGGCGACAACTATAATACTTGCAGCGCAAACGATACCAACAACAACAACAACAACAATCGGACTATTACTATGACTGTAGGTGACAAAAGTGAAGCGAGAAGCGAAAAGAATGAGCTTTCGCCGAAGAATTATGATATTATCGAATTGGATGCTGCGGACTTATTGGCCAAGTACACCCACTATTGCCACGTTTGTGGAAAAGGGTTTAAGCGAGATGCGAATTTGAGAATGCATATGAGGGCGCATGGAGATGAGTACAAGTCCAGCGCTGCTTTGAGCAATCCATTGAAGAATAACAACGCAAATGAAACTGGAAACAAAGATGGCGGTGAGACAAAACCCGTGAGGAAATATTCGTGTCCACAAGAAGGGTGTAGGTGGAACAAGAAGCACGCAAAGTTTCAGCCGTTGAAATCGATGATTTGTGTTAAGAATCACTATAAGAGGAGTCATTGTCCGAAGATGTATGTGTGCAAGAGGTGTAATAGGAAGCAATTCTCAGTGTTGTCAGATCTGAGGACTCATGAGAAGCACTGTGGAGACCTCAAATGGCAGTGCTCGTGTGGGACTACTTTTTCCAGGAAGGATAAGCTTATGGGTCATGTTGCTTTGTTCGTTGGGCACACACCGGCGATCAATTCTTTGGCGAAGATGGGGAGAGTCGAACAACAACGCGATCAAGCGCAAATGCGGGTAGGGAATAGGTAAAAATTGTGTAAGAACTCAGATCATCTGAGAGGTCATCCTTGTGTTTGTTGTAAATTTTAATATGATGATGTATCAATGAATCTTTACACTTTTGTTACAAAGTTGGCTTGTTTGAGAAGGCTTTGTAATTTGACTGCTTAGGTGGACAGAAGTGTTTGTAATTTCTTGAATTTCTATAGGTACTTTTCCTATTCCTTCTACGTTGTAGTTTTGAAACCAACAACTATTTGTTGCTTCCTATGTTTCCTTCTTGTAAAAGGATTTTTACAATGTTTTCGGTGATATTAGTATTAGTAGATGCTATTCGAACAATTCTTTTAAGTTTCTGCCGGCGAATATTTAGTCTATATCTATTTTAGTTGCAGGGTTAACTCATGACCTCTCAGAATATGAGTCTAACTATGCTTCGATATTTATTGATTTTCTTCTTGGATTTGCATGGTAAATCTTCTCTAGAATGGAATGTGGACTTAAGAGTTAGATTACATTCACTAGCATATGTGGTTTCATTCTTATGCACAACATTGCATTCACTGAGAATGGCTATTAAGGAAAAAAGATCAAGATTTCCTCGGGATTTCTTCGTTATGCATAATTGCATGTGGTATTCTGTATATGCTTCTTTGATTAGTTTTTGTATTCTTAGACTTGTTCGGGTGATTCTAGACGTTTGTTAGGATGTTACTCATAGAAAATAGTTTGTGAAATCGTTTGGTTCTAGTAATTATGATGGTATAATCATTATAAATGGTCCAATACTACCAAGCCTGTTTATATTTTGTTATATTGAAGTAGTTAACCAGCTTTTAGAGTCCATAGTTTCTTAATTCAAACGCTATTGTGATGTTTTTAGATGAATGTGATCTTATTGCTAGCTAGTTTTCAATTCTAAACTTGATTGGTTATGAGATGTTTTATTCATGGATAATAAATCATGAGGTTTGTGTAAACTCCGTTTGGGAAGATGGTTTATGGGTTTTTTTGGCTATTTTAGTCACAAAAGACAAAATATGCTATTTTAGTCACAACAAACAAAATATCACATCCAACCCATACTCATTACACTATTCTCTCACAAAAAAAGTCAAAAAAGTCAAAAAGTCAAAAATCTCTTCCCAAACGAAGCCATGTATTTTTCAAGTAAGAGGTAGTTTCTGACTGTGGCAATTAAGTTTTGAGCCATGCTGGGGACCCCCAGTTGGGAGGTGACCCCCAGCACCCCCACTCCATGTGGGAGGCTGTGGACCAAGAGAAAATCAAAAAAAAAAAAATTCAACCAATCGCGTGCCGCCACATCAACTGGGGGTCACTGGGGGTCTTCAAACTGGGGGTGCAAATCATTTTTCTTAAGTTTTTTAGCAAACTCCTTAGTTAACCCCTCTTCCACACCAGTGCCACAAACCAAACTCTTATGGAATTAACACTACAAGAATTTACACATTTTGCGACCACTTTTACCGACTAACAAAATTTTGGTCGCAAAAAAATAACGTTTGCCGACCAAATATTAATTAGTCGCGAATGATCATTAATTTTGGCGACCAAATTTTATTGGTCGCAGAAGGTTATATTTTGGCGACCAAAAAATATGTTGGTCGTAGAAAGTGGTATACTTTTGCCGACCAACTACAAATTTGGTCGCAGAAGGTCACATATTTTTTGGCGACCAAAAATTTGGTAGCGAAAAACTTATTTTCAGCAACCAAAAAAAATTAGTCGCCAAATTAGTACTTTTAGCGACTAATATTTTAGTCGCCTTTGATTGAGATTTGGCGACTAAAAAAATTTGTCGGCAAAAGAACCTATTTTTGCGACTAATTTGAGAGTTTGGTCGCCAAAAGTTTGGGGGGAAATTTGAAACGTGGGACGGGAATTGAATTTCAGAAAAATAATTCCAGATTGGGGTAATTTTCTACTTCACACACTGTTGATGCATCAATCGAACCCAGATTGGGGTAATTTGGTTTAACTCGTCTCCTCCCATTCCCTCTCTATCTCTCTCTCCCTCTCTGTTCTTCTTTCTTACCCTCCATCTTGAGCTCGCTCCCGACGCTGGCCTCAATTTCTGCCTCTCCCCCATTCTCTCTCAGTGTCTTCAAGTCGCAATCCTCCCACTCGCAAGGTAGGGTTTCCGATTGTGAATCGCGACACTGTGCTTCGATTGGGTCACTGAAGGCTAGGGTTTCCACCACCACAGCCACCGTCATCATCATCAGCTTCCTCAAATTCTACATTGACGCCGCTGTCTTCTCTTTCTTTCTCTGCTTCGAACCCCCATGGGAGCTCTCTGGTACCTCTCTCCCTCTCTCTCTCTCTTTCTCTCTATGCTTCTCTATGCTTTAAGTAAATCGATATTTGTTGGTGGAATTGAGGTAATGGTAAAGAGTGATTATTGTCAATAATCAGTCAAGTAAATCGATTACAGAGTGGAATTGAGGTAATGCTTTTCTATGTATTTGAATTCAAAAACATGTATTTGTTGTCAGAAAAGTTGTGTAATTACATATCCTCTGGGATTTTGACTTAGTTAAGGAACTCATTATCTTTCCTTGGACTTGGGATCTCATACTGCTTTTTTTAGAATTTTAATTAATTTCACTGATTTAGGTTGTGTGATAATTTCAATGTTTACATTGCATTTTCTTTAATTCAATCTGAATTTTAGGGTACTGCATCAGTTTCTGAAAATCAAGATGTGACTTCGCTGTTGTAAGGTAATCTTTTTAAAAACCAATATCTACTCATTAATGAATGAACAAAAATGAAAAGAAAAAATCATCTCGAACAACAAAGACCTGGTAGTTCTTCATCTTTATATGTGTATGTGTGTATCTACTCATCTTTATGTGTGTATGTGTGTATGTTTCTTTATATTTGTTGGTGGAATTGAGGTAATGCTTCTCTATGCATTTGAATTCAAAAACATATATTTGTTGTCAGAAAAGTTGTGTAATGACATATCCCCTGGGATTTTGACTTAGTCAAGGAACTCATTATCTTTCCTTGGACTTGGGATCTCATAATGCTTCTTTTAGAATTTCAATTAATGTCACTGATTTAGGTTGTGTGATATAGTTACTTCTAATTTTCTCCCTTTGATTATCATGTGACACATCTAGTTTGATCTGTCTCATTATCAAATGAGTCCCCAGGACCCCATGCCTCATTGTATGACTGCTGTAATATCTGCTTATTAGCTCTGCCAAGTTTTTGGTGCCATTGATACCTGGCGAAGCTACAGTATAGTACCCATAGTTCCCAAAATTTTTTTAAAGGTCGCTTTTTGGTGGAAGAAAATATTTTCGAGGTTTTGCAACATAGTATAACAAATTTCCCCCCTCTATGTTGCTTCGCACTACAAAAATTCTCCAAATGATCTACAATTAATGTAGTGTAATTAAGAATTGGTGGAACTTGACCAAACTTTTCTTTTTTGATCAAAATTTTTTTTATTAAGAACTTGTGGATCATCTCTTGCTTTATTGCAGTTCAGCCAAGGATATTTAGATTTACTTTTCCATTTGCATGGGCTATCAGCTTGTCATGCCAATAAATTAGGTTTTGGATTTGCATGGTGGTGTAGGAGATGGAAACAGGGAAATGTTTTTTTTTTTTTTTTTTTTTTGGGACAAGTTAAAGGAAAATGGTGCTTTTTTTGTTTACTCGTATTGAGAAAATAATTACACTGTCCAAAGGACTAGATTTTTCATTACATTAAAGTGGGTTGTTTCGATGGACTATAACAACTATCTATTGTGAATGGATTTTCTTATTTTATAATTTAAATGGGGAGGGTTGCTTTCTTATTACCTCTCCTAGACCCTTCTGTTAGCAATGGGTATGAACTTTATGATATTTTTTTAATTGCTTATTTTTGCCTTACTTCTGTGCTCAGCATGCAGGGGAAAACTATCACTACAGGAAATATATGATTTTACGGCGTTTATTTAACGGTGTTTTTTTAAACGTCACTATTTCTAACATTTAACGACGTTTTATAAGCGTCACATTTTATTTTAATTAAAACGGCACCCTTTAAGTAATCCAAGTTGTTTGAAAAGCGCCTCCAAATGTGTTTCTCTCTCTCTCTCTTCAAACCCTCAAATCTCTCACCAACGTATTTGAATATGAGAAACCCTAGAGTCTTAGAGAAACCGATCCCTCAAATCTCTCACTCGCTCTCTCTCTCTCTCTAAACCCTTCAGCTCCTTCAACTCAATTCAACCTTCTTCGCTCGGTGATTCATCATTCGGTCGATCCAATCTCAGAATGATTTTGATTTCGAAGCTCCACAGTCACCGCCACCGCCACCGCCACCGCCACCACCATCTGCATCTGCATTGTCTACTAACCATCTGCACGATTTTGATTTCAATCCAATCTCAGTTTCGTCGATTCTTCTCTCTCTCTCTCTCGATCTCTGCCTGTCTCTGTCTCTGTCTCTCTCTCGATCTCTCAATCTCTCTCTCGATCTCGTTCTCTGCGTACACATTATTTGTACTTTTTTTTGGATAATTTTTTTGTCCTAAAAATCTCTCTATACAAGTATATATATGAATTTTTATATGTATCTCTATGTATTAATTGAATAATCATCCTTATTTTGTTTTCAGGCTCTCGAATGATCCAATCGTTGATCGGCAATGACAGAAAAAATCAACTCCTGTGAGAAAAGAAACCTAGCTTTCTCATTGGAGGTAAGTTCTAATATATTTGTTTACATGTTTGTTCTGTTTTTGATCTTGTTTAGATTTGTATTGAACAACTCTATTTAGATTTGTTTACTCAATATACTGATGAGAATCTACTTGAATTTGGTTTCTTTTACTTTTGTCTATGCTTTGAAGTCTTTCATGTGTAGGGCTGTGAGAGAGAAGTTGCAGAGTCTGCAAATGGTGTCTCAGAAAGATAGATAAAAAGAACAGAGAAAAAGAAAATGGTTCATCTGACTAGTGCCCTTCATATATTGGATTATCGAGAATATGCATAATCACTTAACAATAACTAAATTTGATGACTAGAAGGAAGAAGTTGAGTTAAATGGTGAAATAATAACTGAATGGAGGAAAATGATTTACTTACTTTAACTCAAGTTGTTGGGATATATGATTTGTTGAGTAAATTTGTATACTTAACCTACCTGGCTTATGATGGTGCATACAATTGTGTTTATACAGTTGTTTTAGACTAATAGTCATCAATAGATCACTCATTTGGTTTATTATTTTGTAGCCAGCTTCACCTACCACCCTTGGAAAGGAAATTGCAATTTTTGCTGTCAG